ACGCGAGAGCTGAGTAGAATTTATGTTTTAGGGGTTTTAGGAGACCTTGCCTGTTCTGCTCTTTTTACGCGCTATTAGAAACCTGTGATAGTTGTTAGTACTTCTTATTTAATGTTTATCTTATAACTTACTAGAAACAACACGTTTTTTTTTTTGGTTTTTTTTTCCTCCGCTTGTAGCACAGCCTAGCCGCGCTACAAGCGGAACGAGGTGAAAAGCTCTGGGAACCGACAGGAAAATACCCTGTCGGTTTCCAAAGTTGTTCCCTGCGTTCCGCCTGTAGATCAGCGCAGTTGCGTCACAAGCGAAACGTAGCGTACAGGTTTGGTGGTCAGAAAGAAATGCTAAAGCTACGAAGAGACTAAAAGAAACTGGAACACCAAAGAGCTCGCCAATCGTGGCTCCAACTCTGCCTGAACTGCCTTTTCCAGGTGGCATTACAAGAGTGTGACACTCGACCAGAACCCTCTTTCGGGCTCCATTTGTACAGGACCTGCCCTTCCCAGTGGCATTGTAAACCTCCGATACTCGACCCGAGCCCTCTTCCGGGCTGTGATTGTACATGACCTGCCCTTTTCAGCGGCATTGCAAAACTGTAGTGTTTGTTAGTACATATTGTTCTACGTGATTTTCACAACTTACCAGAAATCACGCGCTTGTGCTGCCTACCCGCGGGCGTGAAGCAGGTGAAACCTTTGGGATCCACTCGTGGAATGCCTGAAGTCAAGCGCCCCAGACCCCCAATTGTCGAAAAACCTCGATAGGCCGCCAGCCAGATCTTCCTGATCAGTAAAAGATATAGCGACTAAAAAGACTTTAGCCCCTGCCCCGCCGGAGTGATGATCGTCTCCCATGGAAGAGAGTCCCGAGAGTTTAGCCATATTCCCGTAAACAGATTTTGAGTTTATTGCAAGGTTTATGTCAAGCAAACTTGACGATCAAAAAAGAAGCCAGCTCACCGGTGGGAGGACTCCGAAGAGCCCCCTAACAAAAGTGCGAAAAAGACAAGATTGTGTAAAAGAAAACCATCAGGGCGAACCTTAATGTCCGGCGCCCGTCCCGCTCGCGCCGGACTGTAACTCCCACCACCAGAAAGTACCCTAAGGTAAATCCCTGTTTCCCAAACCACGAGTAGTTTAGGGGAGTGTCCAAGTTTAAGTTTACGATTTTGTGGAAGTCGGATCTGTCCTTGGGTCCCAATGCCGGCCTAGCAAAAGCTAAGGCTAACAAAGATCATGATAAATATTTCACCTCTCCATGCAAACACCGGCTCGGACGAGTACCAGTGTCTACATTTGGACGATTGAATTTTGACTTGTTCAATCAAAGGCGCTGAGGTTTACTACTACTTGCGCTTGCGCGCGTTCTTTTTCAGCTTCAGACCTACCTAAGGGCTGGTCAGAGTGAATCGAGCTAGCTACCCGTGAGCTAACCCGCCAAAAGCGAGCCGGAACTCACCTTCAGTTACAATACTAAGAGTCCCAGTAAAGGGTCTCTCAGGAAGGACCTAGCACCTGACCTAGGATTTGGAACCACCCCCCGATAGATTCAGGGTTACAGAAGCAGTTGAGGGACCAGCGCAAACATGACCGACTTCCACATCGTGGTTAGGTTTAACCCCAACCCTGAACATACAATTGCTAGTTACCCCTCGTAGTCCTTATAACCCCAAACCCCCCTCGGCCTTCCTGGTAGTACATTCAACAGGTTGCCCTGTATCAAAGTATCAGGCGTTACAGGTCAGCCCCAATTATAACCACGATCTCCCACAAGCTACTTATAGCATTTCGAACGCGTTAACCTTCCCCGGAGCGTAGGTTGACTTTAAAACTTAACCCTTGTTTTTTTACCCGTTACTGCCTGGGTCTGCAAGACCCAATAGCTGGTAGGGCAGAAGGTTGCTTAACCATCGCGGCTGGGGGGCCACGATTCTGCAAGACACTGCCAAAAAGGCAGCCCCCCCAAAAGAGGGATGTGTCTTTCTCCCCTGGAAACCGGGGGAGGTGGTATGCAAGACCAACTGTTTTGATGAGCCATTCGCAGTTTCACGGTATAATTGCTTATACTTAGACACGCACGGCTTAATCCTTGAGACAAGCATATGACTACTGGCAGAATCAACTAGATAACAATCGTACGCCAGAGCGCCGAAGCGCCGAGGCGGCACCCCCGAAAGGGCGGACTGTACCAAAGAGGGGGGTCGCCGAAACAACCCCAACCGCCTACTGCGAAAGCACCCAGGGCGCGATCGCGGCCGGCAGCCTATTCATTTGCCCCCATTGAGTTCCCCAAGGCGTGGTCCGCCGCGAAGCCTGACCGGCGTTGCCGCCAGTAGCAAGCCCGCTGCATGCACGCCTCAAGAGGAGAAAGCCCACGCCGCCTCACACACACGAAGCGCGGATAGGCGGCAGGACGGTCCCCAAAGAGCTGGTGAGATCATTGGCATAGCCATCAATCCACTGACCTCAAAATTTGCGCCTGCTCACTTCCATGAGCAGGACTTCAGGCGTCAAGCGCAAGTAAAGGCGCAGTGCCCGCGCACCGCTTCGTGATATAGGCCTTAGCCCACCCCTACAAGCCCCCAACAGTTGCCGAGTCCCGGGTAACGCGCTGGCCAGAGTTGACGTCCCCAACCGCTACCTGGGTATCAAGGCATGCAAATATGAAACCAAAAAGTGGCGCCCACCCCGAAACTGCGCTGCGAACAACGCCGAGAAGGGAGGGGGGGCAAGCAGAAAGTATAGCTGAAGCAAGGGGCGATCCACCACACTGAAGTAACTG